TGACTACAGCGTAGCGCACATATTTATGGATGTTTATTTGCAAATTAATCTAACAAACGAGGACACCTATCAACTGTATCAGGTAAGCCATTTTTAGCATCCATGTTGATGGGTGCCAAAGTAAGGGAAGTATATATAAAGAGGAAGAAATAGTAGGATAGAAGGAAAAACAGTTAAGATGTTTCGGTCCATTAAGTCATATATGTCTTAGCTCAACACCAGGACTGGACCTCGTCAATATGACGGTCGCCGCGTTCAGGGATAAAGAGGAAAGGAAGGAATATAAAAGAGAGGAAGAAAAGTGAAAAAAAAGAAAAATGGAAAAAGAAGGAGAGAAAAAGGTAATGTCAGACATACACGACAAAGCCTCCTGCTTATCCGTCTTCAATGATAGACAGCAACACTCAGAAATATCTTGAGTGATAGCAAATGCCAACAGCAACCATCACTTAATTGGCCTAACTGCGCCCTGTTTTCAAAAATTGCTTGGAGGTAGATTAATGGCGATTTTGACTCTCTGATTTGGGCACACTGCCAATTTATCGTCAAAAAAAATCGTTGATCCGTATTTGATATAGAGAATATTAAGACCCTTCAGGCTGTCTGTATCAGTATCCCCTGTCACAGTGCTGGTACTAAGATGCTTCCACAGCCCGAGCGCAGCTGTACCAGGCCCTTCAAATGTTGTAGAAATTTTAAAGATACAAACAGTGAATATTCCTGACAAGAAGACTGAAAGAAAACGGGAGCCTGAAATCTTCTATGTGTTAAAATATGCAGTTTGTTTGGCGTTATTGGCCCAACATGGAGAGAAACACAGTCAAATTTTGACAATTAATAAAAACACTAAAAATGCTATTTAAATCTCCCAAATAAGCAAGCCTGTATGGTTTGCACTGACTCGGTAGCCTGTCTGCGTTTCATCCCTGAGCTGTAAACACAGGCGGCAAAATGGGGATCTGTACCCATGACACATCATCAGTCGGCATATGGGCATGTGTTATGCATATGACAAAGGAAGAGAAAGGAACACATCCCGGTGTTAATGATTCTTAGAGAAATCTGTTTCCTTGCTGTTAGAATTCAATCAGCCAATTCAGCCACAAAAATAGGGCTATTTATCACTTCAGTAACAGGGATAGTTTTGAGATTTACATTGTATTTTTTAGGCGTAAGGTTTTTTTAGGGCGAGAATTGTTCGCAAATGCTGCAGCACTATCGCGATGATCAGCGTCTTTGGGGCCTTGTGCGTCGCGTAAAATTGTTACGCTCCAAACAGCTAAGTCCGTTTCAAAGCACCGTGGTTGGCATCAGAACGCAACGCCCGTATGCTGTGAAATTGCGAGTGTGGAGTAAGTTTTCTTTTATATCTTCGATCTGAAAAAATATCGGGATTTTTAGGAATTGATGACAGAATCCCTCCAGTAAGGTTTTGAGCACCGTTAAAGTCATCAGTTAGCCATTCAGTTGATCATTCAGACATACAAATAAACATTCAGTCGGCCACTCAGTCACCCAGCACCCAAATAATGGGGTAGTGCATTATTATGCGTTTTGTGCTGTTTAACAGCAGTACGAAATGCATATTGTCACTGGGTTGTCTAAGCGTGTATGTGTCCATAGTAGCTTGTCCGCAATTTTCAACTTGGGAATCACAAAAGCTAGGAAGCTGAAAATTTAGAGGGATGTTCTCCACCCACGTGTGACCCGCAAATTTAAATTCAGCCTCTACGTACCCCTGGGTAACACGCACGGCCGCAAAAGTTTTGGCAGGTAAATTATTATCTCAGGAACTGTGGATCCAGGAGGCTGAAATTTTGGGGAACTGTTTCATGCCCATGTGCAATCCATCAAATTTAAATTGAGAGCGGTGAAAATCATTAGCAGGCAATCGTCCGGTGGAAGGAATTGCACAAAACGCACGATTGCACCGGCTGCCTGGTGCGAGCCGCTATTTATTTTTTTTACTAAATGAGCTGTGATGGTTTAGTAGCTGAAAATTTTTCGGTTTAATTTTTCATTTTTCGGTGAACGAATTTAGCTGGGAAACTTCGTCCGATCAGTTACAGTCAACTGGTCAGACAATCGATTGGTCATTCAGTCATTTTTTCGGCTAATAAATAAACAGTAGTTTTTTTAGAACAAGTTTCTGCAGTGAGAGTACAAACTTTTGCTATTAATTTCAGAAATCAATTACATGCGCTTGGCAGTTTTTCTCGGCGGGCTGGCGTTATTCGTAATGTCTCAAACGTTGGTTCGAAATGCTTTCTTTTACTACACAAGTGGTTGCATGATTGGCGTTCTTGCTTCCCTTCTGATCGTTGGATTCATTGTTTATCGCTTTACACCAAAGGTTCAAGCTTTTATAATTTTATGAATTATAATTCGTGCTAGGCCTTGTACCGTTTTAACGAAGTTTTCTGTCATTTGGCTCTAATTTTTGCTTTTTTTCCTGATATATCGGAGTAGAAATTTCTATGGGATAAATGTTTAAGTGTGTGGGTCGCTGTGTGGCGTGGTGCTCTGAGCGTACGCGCACTGTAGAGAAGCAAAATCAAGTTT